ACCTGTCCTTACAGTAATGAAGCTATTCTGGGACTTGGAGGCATGTGGTTTCAGCCAGGCATGGTACAGCTGCACAGCCACAGAGGCTTAAGTTAACTTTTGAGATAGAGATTCTAAAATTAGTTGTAAACCCCCAAAAATTCAACTCTCCCTCTCCCCCAAATATTTTAAAGTACATATTAAAAAACGCCCAACAACACAGCCGAGAACCCCTTTGAAATAGGATTTTTTGTTCTGTTTGTGTATTATAAACCAAAATTAATTCTGAACATCCACTGATGCTGCCTACACATCTTCCCTTTCCAGCTGGCACACACATGTAAGTACAATCACTCACACACGTGACACTTTCACGTACTGATTCACGTTCTTACGTTTTCTTCCAGTGTGGTGAGCTGCTCATCAAGTCTGACAGGGTCCGTCCCCAGTGGAAAGGTCCCTCTTTCTTTGTCCTGAATGTCAGCTGGGAAATCACAGGGACCGGTGGATTCTGCTATCAGTTCTTCAGTGGCATTGATGACTTTCAGGACTTCCGTAGATATGTTGCAGAGAGAGACAGCTGAGTACTTCTGTTTTGTTAGAAGAGTAGACAGAGAGAAGAACAGCATTGAATTACCACAGAGGGGGTAATATGTAAAATCACCTTGCTAATAGCTGCAGCTTTAGCCATGCTAAAACAATTTACCTGGCTAACTGCTGTGAATAGACACAGGAACTGTGTAATGAAATAGTAATTTACTTCTCTTTTTTCTCCCTCCCTTTTTCACATATGCACACTGCTACAGCATGCAAAATAACGTACACATGCAATTCTTCTACAACACAATTTCTACTGGAGGGACGGTCCAAATCTTATCCCAAAGGAGCAAAGAAATATCCAGCTTTAAAGTACAAGTAAGTTAGATAACGCTATTTTTGCAACAGTGTTTGAAACAGGTTTTAAAACACAATCTTCCTTTCTGGGTACTGGCAAACAGATGTGGCAACTCATCTGTCTCCACACCCATGGGAGCTATCGCACTGCAGCTGTAAACCTGGGAGAGCGATCTTCATCAGCCCTGTGAGGACAGCATTTTACAAAGATGTTTGCTATGAACTATATAATAGCCCCAAAAAACAAAGGTTGAGCTATAAGTGTGTAAACACTTGTATCCTCATTTTTTTTAAATTTCAATTTACCTTTTAAAAAAAAAAAAAAAAATTATATCAAATACCAAGGAAAAGTATGCAGTTTTATCAATTTTAAATTTTCTTTTTAAACAACCATAAGCCTATTTGTCAGTGTTCCCAATTTGTAATTAACTATTCTGATTCTGACGATTCTCACAGAGCTTTAGGCTTCAGGACAAGTCCTCTGATGGCAATAAAATTTCACCTGACGTACCTTCAAACATCAAGCTCAACATCCAATCTATACAGCTCGGAGATCGTGCCAAAGCTTGTTAAAGCCAATACAAACATTGTCACTGAATTTATGTGCAATACCTTTAGCATTGCTTTGCCTAAAAGAAAAGTGTGGGAAGCTTAGACCTAAATTTAATTAAATCCTCAAACCTGCAAATACTTGTGCGTGTGAATTAGGGGCCCACCCATCTGTAAATTTTCCCACAAACAAAATATCTGAGGATCAAAACTGAAGAAACAGACAGTCTTTGGATTCTATATAGTAAATTCTGTGGCACAGGAAAGTATAACTGATTAAAAATGTCAGTGTGTTATGTAAACATTGTATTAATCAGTATGTTGGCGGGCTCCTAAGCAGTATATAGAAGTAACGTTTCTTTGCTTCAGAAGATGAGTTTGGTGGGTTTAACTGGAAAACCTTTTACTATCACTTCCCTTTAATTAGCTGTTCATTTTTATGTTAGATAAGACTTTTACTGAAAACCTACTTTTTTAGCAGTGTATGCTCAACTGTTGTGTATCAATACGTTACAGCATCTTTAGGACTGTTACTTCTCTGAGTTACAAGAAATAATTAGATACGTGAGATTAAAGAGAAGGAGAACAAAGCAAATACAGTATGCTAGAGCACTCAGATCTTTAGCTTGTTAGCACAGCTAACACAGCCCCAAACAAGCAGGCCTGGGACTCTCTTACTGAGAACAAATACTTGAACCCCATAATAAGCCTACTGTTTTTTCCATTTATTTTCACAAGTGCCAATTAGGTTAAAAACAGATCAATAATTTTATAGGATGGAAGAGGAAATCAATGTTACTTTGTTTTATTATTTGCTTTTACAAGTACCTAATTCTTATTCTATTCTATGAGTAGTGAACAAAAACAGGTAAAGGCCAGGCACTACATTTTCTTCATCATCTTCCCTGATGTATGCTCTCCATTACAAGAACTGTAGCCTCACTTTAGTGTTCATTATTTCTTAAAATTTTTATTATCCCTTGTAGTTAACGATGGATTTCCAGAAAAGATTAAACTAAATTAGAAAAAGGTGTTCTTATACCAGAATATGAGAATCCATATTAGCATTTATTAAACACCAATTATTACAAAACAGGGTTTTGGTTTTGTTTTTGGGGTTTTTGTTTGTTTGTTTTCCTGGTAAAGTGTTCTGTGAGAGGAAGCTTTACGAAATCAAGATTTTGAGTAAAATACCCTGCCTTCTCCACAGGTAACGGACAGGGGAAGAAAAGTTCAACAAGACAGAATGGAACAGAACAGAACAGAATAGTATAGAATATTTTTTCAGCTGGATGGGACCTACAACAATCATCTAGTCCAACTGCCTGACCACTTCAGGGCTGACCAAAAGTTAAAGCACATTATTAAGGGCATTGTCCAAACACCTCTTAAACACTGAGAGGCCTGGGGGATCGACCACCTCTCTAGGAAGCCTGTTCCAGGGTTTGGCTACCCTCTGTGAACAAATGCTTCCTAATAGTCAGTCTAAATCTCCCCGGGTGCAGAAATGTGATTTTTAGCTTTTCTAGAATTTTGAAGTTAGTTCTTAGTGGCAGATACTGTTTGACTTTTAAAACCAAAGATTTGCTTTCCATTAAATGTTGCACTACGCAGCTAAATGAATGTTCTTAAAGTGCGTGCATCACTGAATGTATCCCAATCCTAGCCTGAAGGTATCTAGGCACAGGAGTCATAATGTTAAAGCTTTTCTTTAAGCTTGTGAAACATCTGATTTCATAGTATGAGAAGGATGCAGCGCTAGAGTTTAAACACCACAAAGAAATACAGGGCAAGCAAAAGTGATTTTTCTTAGAGTGTATCTGAAGAGTAGATCTCCCAAAACATAAGAGCACATGCAATATTTCAAGGTATTGAAACCTAAACTTTGTGAAAGTTTTCTGCTAAAGGATATTTAGAACTCAGCTTTCCCCTGGGCTGTATTTTACAGAGGAGCAAGAAGACATTAATGTCTGCCTGAGGGAGACATAAAATCAACATGTGGGGAGTTCAAGGATTCTCAAATTGGAAAACCTGGATACTCAATTAATGGTTTTGCATATGTTTTTACCTGTTTTTTCAGCAACTGTCAAAAGCTGTTAAAACAGCTCATGCTCCAAACTGGCCAGTTTGGAAACCTAGTGGGGCACTCTAGATAGAATTATTTAGCATGTGATGTGCTGGAGAGGGTACAGCAGCGGACTACCAAGCTAGTGAAGGATTTGGAGCATGTCTTGTATAAGGAATGGCTGAGGGTTCTGGGGCTGTTTAGCCTGGAGAAGAGAAGGCTGAGGAGAGACCTTATCGCTTTCTACAACTATCTGAAAGGAAGTTGTAGCGAGGCAGGGGTCGGTCTCTTCTCCCCTAGTAACAAGCAATAGAACAAGGGGAAGTGGCCTTAAGCTGCATCAGGGGAGGTTCAGGCTGGATATTAGGAAGAATTTCTTTACTGAAAGGGTTGTCAGGCACTGGAACAGCCTACCCAGGGAGGTGGTGGAGTCACCATCCCTGGAGGTGTTTAAGAGATGGGTAGATGTTGTACTTAGGGACATGGTTTAGTGGTGTTGATAGAGCTGGGACAAAGGTTGGACTTGATGATCTTGAAGGTCTCTTCCAACCAAAACTGTTCTATGATTCTGTGATTCTATGTGTGAGGAAAAAAAAAAAGAAGAAAAAAAAAAAGTGTCCTGGAGTTTTAGTGCTTCACAACCCTCTCCCTTCCTCGACCACTCTTGTCAAACTTACGATTTATTAGGTTCTATAAAAATCACCTAAAATTCACAGACACGCACACCAAGATCATCCTGGTAGGTGGACATTTCTAATTGCTATAAAGATCTCTTGGCTGTCTGATTTATCTTGCCCTTGCAGGAAAGGTCATTGTTAACACCTATAAGTGATTCAGAGAGACAGCTATCATGCCATGATGAAGTCTCTCCATCTGTCTTATCAAGCAAGTCAAAGAAGTAATATGGATGTGATAGATGCTGAAAGCAATCTCTATTACAAATAACTAGCACAGAAAAGCTAAGCGCAGCCATTCTTCTTGAAACATGGGGATGTATTCTGATTTCAACTGTGCTACCCTACTTCTGGATTAACACCAGCCCTCCCAAATTAGATCGATGCAGCTGATCCAAATTTGAATGTTTCTACTGGTTATGAGAATCTCATTTTTTACTGAATTTGAGACTAAGAGTTCAACAGAATGAGGAAAACATGCTTTTTATGATAATTAATGCCCACACTCACAAATACGTTAAAGGCACAGTCAAAAGGAGATGCTCAATTTCCCTGGGTTCTTTGTGGGAGAGTTTTAGAACTAATGAAATACTAAAGAAGTGTGCGTATGCAAACACATATATGTATACATATGCATTGAATAGAACAAACAGCATGTTGTAAAACTTCTTTACTGCCATTTTTATGTGTGGTTGAACAGATGGAAAGGATTCCTGTTTTGCTGAAGATTATGTTTCAGTGGTCTAAGCTAGCTCTTGCCAATGCTATTAGCCATTTCCTCGCCCTTCTGCCGTCTCTTTTTTCTTTCCCTGATGATGCTGCCAATATTTCCTTTGTTGTTTTACTTAACGATGCTACACTGGAAGGTGCATTATAGAACAGTATTGCATCCTCGCACAAAGGATGATGAATAATGGGAGGAAAGCAGGATGATAAAACTGAAGCAACGCTAAAGAGTCCAAACTGCTAAGAGCAGGTGAGCATTAAGTCCTTGTACGCATCTCAGCAACCTATGACATTTCCACATCAAGTTTCCTTTACATGAACATTATTGCTTTTACCTTCAATGCTCTTAAGTAGGAGATCTCTATCACTCACTAATTTTTTCTCCACGTTGTACTCAGCCATTAGCACTTTCTCTTTTTTGCTACTATAATTTAATGCATTGTTAGGCTCTATTAAACTGGCATGGGAGGCAGTGACTTGCAATTCAATAGAGAAAAGTTGACATCAGCAGTTAGATCAAGAAAACCTTCCATCACTAGCAGCTCTGGCAGTATTGACCACATCCTTGATGACTTGTAGTGTGATCATTTTTACTTCCAGTCTCAAGCCATTCTATCACGCTCCGAGTCACGTGCCCGTTTTGCAGTCGATACCCCTAATTTTTTTTTTTGTAGGGAGTTGA